ATCACTCTTTAATTGATTTTTATCCACTAACAATTGATGAAATATTCTAATTAATTGATTTTTATCCACTAACAATTGATGAAATATTCTAATCTTTGACTTATTCAAACTAAAACAACATCAAAAGGTTGTTCTTAACACTCCTGTTGCCTTGGAGCTATAAACTCTTTCTTTCTCTAAAATTTGAACTTGCTAAGTGGAAAAGACTTGATAAACACATTAGCAACTTGATTTTCAGTTTTATAATGAAACAGAACTTGCATAACCATTTTCTTGCAATTTTCTTCAATAAAATAACTTGACATTGAAGTGATTGGTTTTACCATAAAATACAAGATTATATGAAATTGAAATTAGTGCTTGATTATCAACAACAAAAATTTTTGCTTCCATATTGCTTTAAGCTCAAATATGCTAGAACTTTCCTTAACCATATAACTTGCCTTAGAGTTATTATTATAGTCAAACTCATTTTTGTTGTTTACTAAGCTACAACCTCTTGCTTCTTAGAGTATCAAGAGAAAACACTTGGACCCATACTAAACCAATAATCTAAAGTACGCTTTATATCATTCAAGCTACTTGCTCAATATCTATAAAAAAAAATAAAATTAAATAATTTAAAGTATTGTACCTTGCAATTCTTGGCTCCATATTGATGGTTCATTTTATGTATCTTACAACTCTTGCTTCCTTCTAGTGCACCTCACCAGTACAGTGTATAAATCTTGACAACAAGCTAACAAGGAATAAGATGTCAACCCTTGTAGATGCAAGATACATTAGACATCCAATTAAGCTTCTAAAATATGTTTCATTAACTTATAAGCTCTATCCTTTTTAATGAACCTCTCCTTTTAATTCATAGAAATATTCATAGTTTTACATTTATCAGTTAACATTTTTTGAAGATCTCTTTTGTATATTTTCCCAACAAATAAAAATATGATTAATTTTTTAGTGATCTTTCTGTCAAAAAAATAAGTCATAAAATTAAGATCAGTCATCTCAAAAACAACCTTCATTTCTTACTTGAATTCTTCAGTCAATGTCAATTGCTTTCTATTAAAAAAAAAATCATCAACATATATAGAAATGATTAAAATGTTAGACCAACATGCTTAACATAAAGTATAACTTCAAATACTCTTTTGAAAGCCCAAGTGCAACTAATGGTCATTAATTATACTATACTCTTGCTTTAAGTCACATAGAATGTCCTTTTAGCAAGTAAACTTTGTCTTCTTTGCCTTTGATCATGAAACCTTCTAGTTTCTTGACATAAATCTCTTCCTATGAAAAATCATTAAGGAAAGCTGACTTGCCATCTCTCTTGTGCTACAATGGAAAGTAGCATCTTGATTGTGTTGAGTCTTACGATTGAAGCAAAAGTATATGTGAACAATTAACTCCAAATATTTGAGAATAGCCCTTGATCATCATAAGTCATGCTTTGTATTTTTTTAAAGAGCCACTAAATTTAGGTTTTGTTCTAAACATCCATTTCACCTTATGACAATTTTTCTCATGAGGTATTGAAAACAACTTCTAAATTTGATATCTCTCAATCATGGATAATTTCTTCTTCATAGCATCTTCTTCAAAATTGGTTAGTTCACATACAACTATATTGCATACTACTACACAACTTCTTTGATATATATTATAAAGTAACCTTATGCCTTGAATAGGTGGATCATCTACTGTTTCTTTAAGGTCCAATATAATATTTTGGTTCTTCTTTGAGTTATTCAAGCATTAATTTTCATCTTGTATGAAGTGAACATCTTTACTTATCATTTTTTTTGCATTTTAAGGCTAAAAAAATTCTATAATTAAGCTTTAGATATTAGAGATTGTGTTGTAGCTAATAAATATTCCAAGTTTATCATTTTTATCAAGCTTGTCACACTCAACTTAAGGTATATGTTAGTAACACAAGCAACAAAATTTTAAAAAAAAATTAAGAGAAGGTTTAAAACCAAACAAGGCCTGAAAAGAAGTTTGATTCTATAAAATTTTTGCACATTCTTTTGTAATTCTTTTTTATGAAACATACACCTAGTCATCTCCATGATTGATCTATTTTTCTTTTCACTTTCTCCATTTTATTAAGGAGTGCAAGGAGCAATCAATTAATGTGTTATCCCTTCACCATATAATTGGTTAAACTAATTAGCTAACATACTCTTTTCCATTATTTGACCTTAAAATATTATATTGAGTTTTTGTCTTTACTAGAATGTATTCACCATTCTCAATCTTGACCCATTTGACTTTAGTGTTGTCCAATTGCTTGAACATTTCTTTATCAAAGGTCATATGGTTTGTGTAACCACTACCAATTAGTCAAGATTCACTTGAACTACTAGAAAAATAAGTTGCAACAAAGAGCAAGTATTCCTCCTCTTGTGCATTTTTTTGCCTAAAGTACAATTTGTTGAGTTCCAACTTTGCATATTATAGTTTCATGACTCATTTGATTGCACTTGCTACATTTTGTATATGAAAATTTTTCAACATTTTGAATGGTGTGTGACCCATCTTGCCACAATGTGACAAGTGAGTGATTTTTCTTTTTACCTTTGCCTTTGCTTTGATTATTTGTTGTGTTTGTGGTGTTACCTAGTTGGTTTTTGTAGTTTTCCCTTTCGCTCATTCCAACTTCTTAGTGTTTGGCTAGAAAAGCACCTTCAACCATTGGATCTTGCTTGATTTTCCTAGTTTACTCTTGAGTTTGCAATGCATGTAAAACTTTAGTGAAAGTGGTCTTATTAAGATCTTTTGTGTTCTCCAAAGTGTTTATAGAAGCTTGATATCTTTCAAGCGTAGTTACAAAAGTTTTCTCTACAATTCTAGAATCAAAGAAGTCAATGTCCAACAATTTACAATGTTGGCTATGTAAGCAATTTGTCAAAGTATACTTAGATTGCCTCAAATTCTTTCATTTTTTTCACCTCAAATTCTCTTATTATGTTCAACACTGCTTACCTTAAACCCTCTCATTCCTTGCATATTCTTCCTTTAAATAGTTCCAAATTGCTTTTAATAATTTGAGAGCCATAGTTCTAGTTAAAATGGTTGATGAGACACCACTGCACAAACATACTTTTGTCTTTAATTTCTTAGTTTCTCTCTCTTTATGATTTTTTAGCAATGGAAGCACTACATAGTTATCTTTCATAACTTCCTATAGATCATAAGTCTCTAAGTAGGACTTCATTCTCACTAACATAAGTCATAATTCTTTTTATAAAAGATTTGAGGAACATGTAAAAACTTATTTTAACGTCTATTTCACAAATTTTTCAAGAAGAGAGCTTTAATATCAATTGTTAGTTATTATTAAACAAGAACAACAAAGGAAAGAGAGTAGAAAATATTAGTCACAGTGCATGTGTGACCTTGTTGAATATGTACTTAAATTTAAATCCATTTGAAAAAATAACTGAAGGGAAAATCCTATGATTTTTAGAACTTCTACTAACAATGAAAAAAAGAAATTGAAATTAACTTATTCACTAACAACTAATGAAATATTTTTATTTTTTATTTTTTCAAACAAAATAAGCATCCAAAAACACGTTCTTACACCAAACATAAATATTATGACAGTAAATTTAAACCGTTTCATATTACAAATATAAAGAAAGATTAAATGAACTTATCAAGTTCTAACTTCTATTATCTTCTTAAAGCATGTGTGGTTATTACTTATTTTCTCTTAGTTTACTTTAAAACTTTTCAATAAAACTTCCTTCAATTCTAATTGAATTTAATTAGTTTGATTTATTGAATCAATAATACATATTTAAATCCATGCGAAACAATACTTTTAACTTATTCATCTCATCGCATTTGCTAGAGGTTATTAACACCCAACAAATAATTACAAATTTTATCCCATTAGGTGAAATTAGCTCGATGGATTGAGCTCGGTTAAAAAGGCAGCTGTCACCACATGCTCAAATAAAAAAATATTATTCAAACTATGGTCGCATAATCCAAAGAAATGGAAGGGGTGAGTGACAAGAATAGGCCTCCATACAACTGCAACGATAAGGGAATTTGATGCAGAAGAAGCCGTCCACAAAAATATTTATCGTTGGCATATTTGAAGCATAACTATCCCGTCAAAAAAGACCCCAAGAAAATAAACTACATTTCCATCAGACAAGTTACAATCAAGTTCATGGCAACAATTACAAAAGAATCAGAACTTCAAGTTCCTCACAGAAGGGAAGTCCCTGACTGAATGGAAGATAGATCGTGGCACTTGATAAGCAAGATTAAAAATAAAATAATAGGTTAACAATATTGAAACTTTCACAAACTAGCCACCATAGCCAGAACAAATAAACAATAATCATCATTTTATTAAACAGCTTGTACTCATTCCATAACATGCTAGTTCGTCAAAATGCTTAAAATTAGGCATATTACCAACAATACAGGTTCAATGGAATGAATATTATACAATAGTAAAAACGGAAAACAGATATTAACAAAAGAATATTAAAAGCTGTTACATGAGTTCTATTGAATAGATACTCTTTTACCCCCTTTCACTGCATGGTGAGCCAATTGCTTGTGGACTTGCAAACAAGTCGTCAGACATACAGCTACTTTCCTTCTCATATTGTAACATTAAGTATATGCTACATTTGCTTTCTACTATCTATCTCTATACCCTAATAATGATTGCACATAAACATTTACAAAGAGAAGCAATGGTTTCATACAAGTAATCCTCAGCAAACCCCCCCCCCCTCTCTCTCTCTCTCTCTCTTATATAATGCACAGAGGATGAAGGCATTGATAAATTAACCTGTGCGTGTCTGGATTATTTTATTTTCAGAAAATAATTGCATTTTTTTAATACTTTGCAGCTTCCTAAGCGGTTTGAAAAAAAAAGGAAGATTATTTCCCATAATTAATCAGATACCAAATAGCCAACTAAAATGAATTCTACGTGAGATTAAAGCATGACAAGCTCTTAAAATCAAAACAACACATTTATATAAAAAATATTAAATATTCTTATACAGGTATAGGAGAAAGTAGAAAGTCTGGTTGTTGTCTCTGTAGCACTATCCCACAAAAGGGACACAACGGTTTTGAGGATACTGCTTGAGAAGAAGATTTAGTAGAAAAGTCTGAATCTAGATGAAATGAAGACATTCTAAAAAGCTGCTCTGGTGCCAATCTAAAGCCCGATCTTTGGCAACATACACAATACCATATGGGAGTAATGGGGCAAACCTGCATAGAAACAGAACATCTCAATAACCTGTGACGGTTATCGTTGCCACTACTGCAATCTTCACCTTGACAAAAACCAAACTCGGGGGATTCAAATGGAACAGATGCTGCACAAAAACTGCATGACTCTACTGCTGAACATTTACTGGTCAGAAACCTGCATTTTAAGACAAATACACAATACTGTAATAAGCATATTTGAAGTTCTGAACTAAATCCACAAAATTGTGACTTTTACAAGCTTAGTAACAAGTTTATGGTTGTTAACAAGCAAATTTATGTAAGACGTTTTCTATGTGCCAAGGAAATTATTTATCAACAAGAACTTACCAGTAAAAATTAAGGGAAAGTTACAAAATGATTTTAATTTATGAATAATTAACCTCTCAAAGTAATAATTATGTTGATAAATAGTTAGCTGGTTACTATTCATGATTTTAATTATTTTACCATTTTTTTGTTTTTGCATTTTTTCATAATTTATTATCGGAAAATCCCTTCTCCAAACAGTTTCTTACATCACTAATCACAGCAAAATCCATATTTTGTTTATTATGAGCACTAAAAGGAAAAAAATTCTTTATTCAGGCAAAAAATGTCACCAAAACAGAAAGAAAATACAGTATTCCATCATGAATGGGAATGAGTTGCAATGGACTAGTCGATTGATGAGTAAAATGATTAGAAAGGACACTATTTTGTTTCATGATACCATTTGTGTTAATATTCCACCAAGCTATTATTCCATTTTGAGAATTACTTTCCATCAAGTTTTATTTAGGGCGGAGGGGTGGCTATTGCATTGCAATTATGTACAGTTTCCACTACAATCAGATAAAGTTCTCCACCTTTTTTGGGAATATGTTACTCAGATTGATGTCTAGTTATCCTCAATTCTGGGACAAAAGGTTTATCATATGTGCACAGACAAAACTATGATAAAGAATTAAAAAATAAACTTTACAGTAAGACAATACAAAAAAGAAATGATATCTGAAATATATAATAACTGCAAGCAGTACCTTTTCTCATGAGTAACTTTTGATGCAATGGATTTCAATGGCTCACGTAAATGTTCCTGATCTAAAGCAATCCACTGTTCCATCTGTGCCAGTCCAACAGGATACCAACCACATTGGGAAGGATCTGTTTCTGGATGGGACATGTTAGTTTGGAAAGCAGAAAAACTAAAACCAACAAGCCTTTCACGAAGTTCTCTTTCACTGCTTAGAAGAATTTCTTTCCACTTAGCAATTTCCTTTTCCATGGCAGGACATGACCCTTCCAGGTTTTGAACTTTTCTGTTTGTTCTAGTAATTTGATCAGCATCCAGCTCTGCTAACATTACACGTCTACATATTATATTGAGCAAGTGTAGCAGTCGAGAAGAAATGTCTGCCAAGCTAGAAGAGACAAGTGGTAAAACTTTTTCAGGAGGAAGGTCTATATGTGATGGTAGAAATGTTGATGAGATCCACTTTATCAGTAAACGTTCTAAATATTTTGAATTGTTATCTTTGAATGCCAACAATGCTGCAATTATGTCCCGCAGAACTAGAGGCTTATCAAGACATTGATATTGGTTTAAAGACCATATGATATTGTTTCCCCAATAAGTTAAATCTTTCTCTGGAACACTGGAATTTTCTTCAATGTAACATGAAAAGGGAGATTTCAACTTAACATTCACTTGTAGCCCACCAATCCAAAAGTATTCAATAGCTGCCCTCAGAAACCTAACCAAAGTTCAAGAAAATTGTTAAATTTCCACATTGCTACTTTGGACTGGAGTGACTTGAGTTGCAATTTTGAGTATATTTTCCTCCAATTGGTACAAAATTATACTCGACCAGGAAAAATATCCGCTTATCCCCAAGCCCCCCCCTCCCCCCACACACAGCCAGAAAGGAAGGCAAAAAAAGGTAAGAAAATACCTTCCTTCATACATTCGATTCAGTTTCTCAACATCAAAGCAATGGACCTGCAACAAACAAGCAGCAAAAATACTCAGAAATAACAACATAAAATAGAATTTCATGTGAGGATACATAGCTAACAGTCTGCACATGTTTTAGTGCAAATATAATAAACAGAATATATCAAAGCTTTAAATGAAATTGCCATGTTTTCTGGCACCATATTTGTCTGTCCAGCAACACTTCTTGTCATATAATCAATTATCAAATCAATCCACTCAACATACTGCTCTTTGAAAAAAAGATTAGGAAAGAAATTAAGCATATTGGAATTTAGCAGGTTGGAACATAAGATTAACATAAATTGTCAGACCTCTATTAATTAAGGTTAAGGAATCAATGCTGAACTACAAGGTCACCTCCTACTTCTATATATTCTCTAACTAGAATAAAGGAACAAACAGTCAGATACAATCAAACATCTACGAAAATATAAACATCATTATCACTGAGAACATTATTCACAAAAATTGAGGAGACATAGAGAGTTGCTGTAAGGAATTTAATGTGTCTCAGAGAACAGAGACTCAAACCCCAGGATGTAATGAATCATTTATTCAAAATCCCAAAATAAACTCGACATGGTTTGAGCACATAGAATGACTAAGATTTCCCAGATGAAAGTCAGTGACATGATGTTTTCCAGGGTTTCTCAAGAGCCATGAGCCAAGACTATTCAATTAGTTTATGATGGGGGTAATGCAAATGAATGCGAACAATGGCAGTTTCAAAATGAAATGGTTCTTTGTATTCAATAAGTACATGATATCCCAACATAGCAAAGTAAAATGAATATGTCAAGGACTGACTGATAAAAAATGCGAAAACTGAAATGGAAACACAATATCATACAGTAGCTATGACAAGATTTCCAGGGGACACAGCTACACCAAAACATGAATCAAATGCATCTCTTGAAGTCTGCAAGGAAGAAAAGCATAATTGATTTAGTAGGAAAAATTAAAGATCATAATAAGGAGATAGAAACTAAAAAGGAAAGTAATAACATACACAGATTGAACTGTCACTGCAGGGCATGTCAGAAAAGATGGTTACTTCATCGAGACGATTCTCATGCAAAATCCAGCTACGCACTAAATTATCCTATAAACATTAAACAACCATTCATCAATCATAAATGCACAGCAGAAGCACCAATTTTTTTAAAGAACATCTTAGCAACTGTATAAAAGATGGAAGAAAGATATGCAACATTATGCTGAATGTATTTTAAACTGTAAAGTGTTTGATGCTTAATCTAATTAGTTGATCTATCTTAAAACTCTCCATTTCAGAATACAGAAAACTAATCATTCTAGATACCAAATTTTTGCTTCATTTGAAAACCAACCAGTTGACACCCTGAATGGAGCTCAGAGTTTCAAGTTCTAGAAGGGCAAGTAGATTCAGCCTTTTCTGGAAGCTTGGTTACATATTTGATTTCCTTTCCTTCTCCAGTTTTCACAGTTTTTTTTATTCACTTTATAAGGACCAGTTGAATATAACTTTAAAGATGACAAAGCAAACAAAACTCTGAACTATAAGCATTCTAGTAACACTCTAACCAATCTGATAACTGTCGCTGCAACTATATAGACACTCATGAAGTCAGATATGAATGATTCAATTCAGAAATACAAAACCACAAATGAAGAAACTGTCACTGTTACTTTTACAGGTCTAACAGATTTAACAACTGTCTCTGTAACTATAAATATTATTCACATAGTCACATCTGATTGATTCAGTTCAGATATTTAAAATCACAAATTGAGGAACTTTCCAACTTTTTTCGCTGAATTTTCTCTCTTTCTATCATTTTTTTTCTTTTCCCTTTCTAATTACCCAGCTGTAATCCATAATCAAGACAGTTAACAAATCAAGTTTAACAACAACAACAACCAATCCTTATCCTACTAGGTGAAGTCACATACATGGATCACATAACGCTATTGAGTTCGGTCAAAAACTAAATTTTCAGAAATTTAATTAATCAAAAAATCGTTTTACTATTGTCCATTCTCTTAAGAATTTTTTTTACTTCTCCAACTCATCCTATGATAATATGCCAAATTTAAATATTTCGCTTGCACTTCTAATCTTATTGTACTTTCATTTGCTCCTTGTCCATCATTAAAATCTTTGATGTTTTAATTTGAAACCAAAATTTTTCCTTCTTTGTCTTTAATACATCAAACTTGATTCAAATCTCTAGATTTTCTTACTCTACTTTTGCCAAGCTTATAACAACATAAACGAAAATCAAGAATGTAACTAATAGAACATGGAAAATAAGATACAATTTATGTCCACGTAGCTATGAATTTTATTTTATTTCCACAATGTTATAAATTTAATGATACTATGACAGAAAAATGGCCAAATCTCCTAATGTAAAGAATATAACCTGGCTACAGCTGTACAAAAATCTTCCACCAAATGCCCAGGCCAAACCAGTAACCTGAAGAATTAAAAATTGCTTATCATCAGAGGAATGTGCCCATTTTCTTTCAACTGACTCCAAAAAAGAGGGAAAAAACTTACAACAAAATCATGTGCATCATATGAGCCAAGCTTATCAAATTCCCTAGAGGACATGTCACATAGCCATACTTCAACTGAACCAGAAACTTTACCCGTGGCTAAAAGCATCTTGGAAGGGTATTGAGAATGTAAGGTTACTGAAAGTACAGAAACTGGGACAGCATTGACAGTTATAACCTATTTAGAAAATTGAATGTTGCATGAAGGAATTATTCAAAAAGAAAAGATTGAAATGAAAAGATATCCAAAAAATACATAGGAGGTACCTCCTTCAATAACGAGAATGAAGTTTGATCCACTGCTGATGATTTCAGCAATTTCTCATTGTCACCCAACCAAATCTTAACACTACAAAACACATACATGATACATTCAGCTAAGCTCAGATATTAGGTGCAAAACATAATATTATACAAAAATTCAATCTAATAGGAAGGGAGTGTGTGAAAATAAGGATCACTTAGATGCCATGTGAAGAATCAATTATTCTGGAAAGCTCTAAGGCCTATTTGTTTCAACTTGGAAAAATGTGATTCTATGCACAACCTTTTTCAGAGCTGTTCCTCAGATGTTATTTTACATTTTTAGCAGTTTATCTTCTGAGAAAAACACTAATACAGCTCTTTTAAAGTTTTTGCTTTAAAAAAGATATATTAGTTACTATAAAATTTTCAAACACATCTTTTAATTAAAAAGCAATTTATCTTTTAATAAAAAGCACAGATAAACAAGAATTGGTTATTAGGTGTACAACCAAAAGGAATTTTCATCTTACACACATTAATGTCAATGTGGTCTTCATTTATTTCAGTATTATGAGTAAATAAAAACTAAATCCTTATATAATTAACTTTCCTGTTCTTTATAGGATATGGCAATTCTATGGTGATTGATACCCTTCTCTTTCAAGGACTTTTTAGTTCTAATCCTCATCCACTTTTCATACAATTTATAAATGTCCACATCGGATTGACTGCTTCCTCCACAAAACAGCTTCAAAATTTATTTATTTAAAAATTCTAATTATTCTGCCTTGACTATGTCATCAAATCCGACACCAAAAACTAAATCTTTCACCCTAGGTAGGACCACATGAATCAAACATCGCCATGATGCATTATCATAAATCATAATTGACCTCTAAAATCCTTTTAAACTGTGTTACCTATAGTTTTTCTAGACTTTGCTCAGTCTGTAGCAATTGAACTACCTTCCATCTAATCTACTCTCCTTATTGAGACTGCTACAACTCTTCTCCATGCATGCCCAAACTACCTAACACAAGTTTCTACCATCTTTTACAAAATAAGTTACTATGTTAACATTTTATCTTATGCATTCATTCCTAATCCTATCTTGTCTAGCATGTCCACTCATACAACACACACTCATCTCTGCCAGAGTTTATTCTCATTGTTGGCTTTTTGTCCAATATTCAAAATTCTATACAACATTGTAGGTCTTATAGTTGTGTGGTACATTTTTTTTCGTTTGAACTTGAGTGGTATTTTATAAAACTGGGGTTGTTTGGAAGAGGGATGTTGAAAGGAAAGGGAGGGGAGGACATATTTTTTAATTTTAAATTAAGATAATTATATATTATTTATGATGATAAATGCATAATTAATACATTAAATTTATGTTAATATATCATTTCATATCTTTTATTTTAAAAAATATTAATTTAAATATATTCATTTAAAATAGAAAATTTGTTGTTCCTTTCCCTCCAAAACTCTCTTTCCAAACAACCCCACTCCCAACCAAACATAATAATCCTTTTTCATCTTAGGGAATCAAAATTGTCTAAGTCCTGCTAAATATAATATCAAAAACTTTATTAAATTTTATAAGATTGCTAAAGAAACCCATAAAAATATTTTGACAATCATGAGATAACCATATCTTTTCAAACCCTTACTCTGTCTGTTGAGCAGATTTGAGAAATGAAAAAAGAGAATTCACAGCTTTCTTTGCTTTTTATGTCACTAGAATACAATAGACCAATATGAGCTTCTTGAATGATATCAAGGTCAAAAGCTTGAGTGCACTATTATAGGGATTAGTCTACAGCATCTGACATGATTTACTTGATTAATCAAACATTATGGAGTCTTTCCCTACCTTTTCCTAGGAAGGGACATGTTCAGCTTCTTCATTTAAGAAGCATGAAAATCAAAAGAATGAATATTTATTTTCACAAAAGCTTGAACAGTTATAATGGATGAATGGCCAGAATGAAAGACTTGTTTTCAGTTTCAGGCTAATGACACAAAAAGCATGACCATGCAATATATGTAGGATGTAGGATATAAAGGTTAACGTTCAAGTGTCCTAAGAAAAGGTTACTAAAAACACTAGTATAAAAAAGCCACAAATAGTTGCAGTTGACTTATCGTCCGGTCTATTTTGAAACCACCTTTTAGATAAACTTAATGAGATATCATTGGGAGCATTTTCATTGTCACTAGGATGATGCAGATAAAGCACAAATAAAAAATCTGGCACATAACGCCAGTAATGTGTATAGGTAGTTTAACAGGATAAATTCATGAAATCAGCACAAAAATAACACATTTGCATAAGCATGCTTAACTCACCTCCCATCAGAGCTTCCAGTAGCTAATAAAATTTGAGGATTTGAAGAATCAAAAGCAAACAACAACCAACTTATAGTTGTAACCCATGAATTATGTGCCTGAAGAAGGCCAACAAACTTCACAGTAGTTGGGACTTTTCCATCCTGAATAGTATAGCATTCTGGAGGGTGAAATCTCCATAAAGAAATTTTACCAGACTTCCCACCAACAGCAAGCAGACTGACAGAAGCACAAATATTAGGAATTGGATAAGACTCAGATTCTACATGCAGCAAGGGAGACCACGAAACAACAAGTGAACATAGCATTGCACTACGAGAAGCATATTGATCAGCACTTATCAGTGGCAACAAGTGGTTCTCAGGCATCTTTTTCAAAACTTTCCCATTAGTGTTAGACAGAGAATCCATTTGATCTGATGCATTTTTCAGCAGGCACGATCTATTATTAAGCACCTAACAATCAAATCAACACAAAAAATAGAGATGTTTTAGATTTGAACTTAAACACATTGTTTCCAGTAGAACATAACCCTGACTTGCACATAAATAGCATAAGTAACAAAACACTAGTTCATAGTCATACACACTTCACATTTGTCCCATAAAAGTCTTTCACATGTTATCAGCTTATCTTAGCTTTTCTACTGGCAGCTGAATGATGTCAGAAATTGATAAGTACAGCATAAAGAAAAATTAGATCATAAGTATGACACGTCTCACACTGAATAATTAACCCCAAAGAAATTTAGAAAAAGAACACCAGCCAAGAACATGGATGAATTAGATAACTTACATCAGAAACATCTGAAGCAATCCCTGTACCTTGAAAGTCAGTACATTTAAGATATTCATACAGTTGTTTAGTTATATCCACAACCTGAATAGAAAAGAAGATTAGCATATTATACTTACAAGAATGCTCAAAGAAACAAATATAATATTAAAGATATTCATTTCTTTATATTGCACAAATCCACAGATGGGAAATACTATGAAGCTCTGTACCCCAAATACCAAATACAACGCAAATATGAGGATATGAAAAATTAAAAATTCAATATGATGTATCGTAGATATGGTAACATGAATTTGAAAAAGAAAAAAAAATCCTTTAAATAAATGGACAATATTTGTAAAGAAATATTGAATATTTCTCATTAATACATGATTATATTAATGGGTGATAATAACAATTCACATAAGAAAATCATAGTTACATACATATGCTCTCTCTTCCCAAATCAGAATACTCTCTCTTCCCAAACCAGAATACATTCCCTCACCCATGTCAAAGGGTCACAATAAGGATCATTAGTCCTATTCAATTGAAATCTTGGCTCTATATAGTTGTTTACTACTTTTTATTATAGCTTTAACAGGGGAAAAGATAGCGCCATATATAGTTTTAGTCCTATTCAAAGTATTGGACCATATCCCAAACATCTGTCAATAAATATTAAAAAAATTGGAGGATACTCATTGGATACATATCTAGGAAGTATTGTACTCATCGGTATCAGATATGGGTGTGACACCTATAATTTACCAATTTTGGAGTATCTAGGTTTCAATGCTAAAGAATTTGAAATAACATTCTTCGTAACATGCTTTTCCACAGTCCTTTTAATTATACTTCATAGATGCTACAAACAACAACACAGGGTAGGAATTACAAATTCATTTTGAAACTGAAACAATATGGCCCCCTCTGGAGCCCAATAGTTTACAGATTCAAAATCATGTTTGCTGATGGCACCAATTCCAATTCTGTGGTATTAAGCACTTCCACCACACGTACCTCAATCCATTCAGCACAGTAATCACAAAAAGGTGGACGATAAATCTTCACATGACCTTCATAGGTGCAAACAGCAATCAAGCACCTGTAGCAGATTAAATCATAAAATGTCATTTAAACCCATAAAAACATAAGCTTTTCAGGAATGAACATACGATGACGCTACTAGCCAACAGTAGTTGGTCACAATAGAAGTAAAGGACAACCCCTGGCAGTCCTTTTCTGCAAAATCAAAAGCAGAAAACGTAGAATCACCATTTCAGAGAAAGTTTTCCCCAGCCACAACCCCAATCCGGTATTACGTGAGCTGTTTAACACATAACAAAAAAATCTATGCCTCTATAGTTGCTTCCTAGTTCTACATTTAGTCTTAAAACAAAAATAGGGACGAACCAAAAAACATCAAATGAAATTATTCAGGAAAACCAAAATTCATACCCTGAATTTGCAGCCATGCCAAGCGGAGACCATGATATTGATCTCACAACAGGTTTATCATCGCGATACAATGCCATAGGCAAGAGGCATCCAGAGGGCAAATCTGTGCATAAGTTCAATTCGAACATGTAAGCTCATATTAACACTTTGCGGCTGACACCTTGGCAAGTGAAAATTCCACGGTCTCATCCAAATTTATCACATGACTTTTTAACTAAAACCACAAAGCTCATAATAATAATGTCGAATAACAAACTCCTACTATACATAAAACAGTTCATAGAGTTCAACAATCTAAAGCTTTCTAGTGTTAATGCAACTGAAGCAAAACACTAACGATTAATTAACAACTGTTATTAACGAGTGATTTTGAGTAGTATTACCTTTTCTTTCTACAAACCCTACGGGAAGGGGTTCACTTGGGGAGACTTTAATTACGCCACGTGGTCCAATAGGCAAGTCTGGTCTCTGAAAAAGAGAAGAAAAAGAAAACTTAATTCGCCAGAGAGAGAAAAAAAAAAGTGAATATTGCGTGGTACAGATTTGGTAGGGTACGAGAATGGTGACGAGGTGAGCGGAAGCAACAGCAATGAGGTTGTCATCAGACCAAGCAATAGCGTTTGGGAAAGAAGGTGAACCCAAAAGCATAGCAGGTTGTAACGGACAGGGACAAGAACGCGCCATTTTGTGCTGTGTTTTAAGAGAGAAGAAGACGAGAGAAGGTGGGTGGTGAGAGTTCGAATCCCCCTTAGCCTACAAATAAATCGCAATCTATATCTGTTATATAATAAATTGAATTCTTCTCTTCTTTTCGATCCCTGTATCAGTTTTTTCCGATGAAAATAGGTTTTATTTTTTAGGCTCAAGGTTACATATAAGTAGGAAAGACCCAAAACAACGGCAGCCCAACTCGGCAATACAAAGACAAAATTATTATTAATAATAAAGTAATGACATCAAATCTGACAAAATATTAATGTTGAATATGAGCAAATTATTAGAAAAATTTTTACAAGAGAAAAAATTAATACAAAAATTTAATTTTTTTATAAGTTAAAAATAATTCTTTTTTATATTTTGATAAGTTTTTCATTTTATTTTATTTAATTTGAGAAAATAAATTTTTTTAATTTATGAAAAATGTTCTATATAAATTTTTTAAGATATTTATTCAAACTTAACAAAAATAAATTAAAATTAAAGCTTAAAAAATAAAAAAAAATAAGAACTATTTAAACTAATTAAATACAAGAATTTTTTAATATTATAAAATAATCCCAACAACAGTGATAAAAACTTATTTGTGAGAGAGTGTATGTCGAAAAGTAATAAAAAGTTTTAAAAAGTTCTTATAATATCGTTTCACAAAAATTGTTTCTAAATATTAAGAATATTTTAATTTAATTATTTGAACTAAAAAAATGTGTAATGAAATAAAATAAAGAAAGATGTAAATTTAAAAGTAATTCAAAAGAAATAAAATAGTACAATTTATGATAATAAACTATTTGAGTTAAACTTTAAAACATATGGATTCACCTTTATACTTCTTTATGTTTAAATTTAGTTTAATCATAATTTTAATTTATTTATGATTATTAATCACTCATAATAGATCTATTAATATAAAATAGTCATACAATATTAATATTTTTTTTCTTAAATAATTGTTCTCAATAGTCATGCAAGGCAAAAGGGAAAAAAGTATAAAAATCTAATAAATTTATTAATTTAACAATGATTGAAAGAGAAAAATTAAGTTTCGTCCACTTAATTTTTTATTTTGTTTTATTCTATAGATCCATTAATTATATGTAGTACAATCGTCTATAATATAATTAATTATGATATGTTTAAGAGTTGTAAATTCTTAAAATACAAACTACAGTATAATAGGATAAACATCAATTAAAAAGGAAACTAAAATTATTATTAATCACAATGTCATGCAATGGATCTACTATAACCCAAATTATAGATTTAGCGAGACATAATGTAATAGAAAGCAAACACAATGATAAATCAATTCATAATCAATCGAGAAGAAAATACAAACTAAAGGAATTCTTTAATAGAGAAGAGATAAAAAGAGTTATTGATTTCAAAACGAGCTCCCAAAGTTATCAACGATTGACCAAAACAAAAATAATCAAGTTGCAACCCTCAAAGTTCTTAAAAAATAGGGGTTCTAAAACCCTTAGAATTCTTCTAAGTTTGTTTCTCCCGATAAAGAACATTGTCAATACACACCACTATGCATGGTTGTGCATATGCTTCAAAGCATGTGTGTGCTAGCTGTTGAAGCATGGATGTGCTTGGCCTATTTTTCATCCAATTTAGGTCCCAAATATACTTAAAACTCAATTATGACATTTTAATGTTAAACTGCATAATTAATATAATAATTAGTATAAAAATTTATTCAACTAAGGATCAAAGACATAAAAATAAGCTAACATACTTATCAAGCTCTCATACTTTAGATTTACTTGCCCTCAAGGGAACTCTTAGCTAAGAGTAAGCAAATATCTTGAAAACATATCATCACATAAAGGAACTTGAGACATACAAGATCAAAAAACTAAAAAGAGTAATATCACTTAGCATATATAATAAAAAAGTTTATCAATTAGAATCTTATATTTCTAACTTTATACTCAAACATTAAACTAGAATACTCACTTTTCCTTTCTCTAAGTGTCTAAGGACAAAAAGGAGATATTATTCAATTCCTCCAAAGAAAAGTATACTATCATAGGTTTGACCATAAATAAACTTTATATTAAGTAGTTTCAATGCAAGTGAAAATCATGATTCATGAGGTCTTTTTCAAGTTATAATGTGGCCAACAATTTTGATAATCAAATGTGAGATAAATGAAAAAAAATATATATATAAAGAGGTAATAAATCATAAAAGTTAACAAACATCATCTAAATAAAGCTCTTAGAGTAATTTTTTATATTTCTCATATGATCAATTTCTTACTCCTCATTCCTTTCATTCATTTGTGACATTTTTTTTCTTTTTGCTATTTTTATATTCTTTTTTGTATTTACACATATTTTCTTTCTTTTGCACATAAGATAAGAAGTAAAGAAAAATTCATACAATAAAAGCGACTTCTTAAACAATTCAACCCAATTGCTTTATTCATAAATTCTAGGTCATCAAAATATTTTATATAATTGAATGCAAGAGATTAAAAGAAAATCAATAAAGCTCAAAGTAGACAAATAATTTTATCTCTAACATATTGAAAGTTAAGAAAAATAATTCTAATATATCTCAATCATATTAAAACATGAATAAAAAAATAGCTTAAAATCGATTACAAGTCAAGTTTTAAAGCATAAATTCTAAGGGAATAATCACACAAAGTAATAAGGAAATGGGTTTTATTAATTAAATTAGGATACAAATCTTCATAAAGGCTCAAAACTCACATATTTGGGCAAAAGTTTAACGTAGAGTAAAAAAGTAGACAACTTAGCTAATTATTAGTTTCCTAATGAATCATTAATTCAATAATAATTACTCAATATGCTCTTTTATCTAAAACAATTGAGTTTCTTAGGAATAAAAGTTTCAAATTATCAAGATGAAGGGAAGCACAATAATTCACGTAAAAGCATGTAATAAGAAAAAAATTTATTAGGGACCTTCATACTTAATGCACAACATTGTCTTCAATATAAATTTAAATACAAGCAAAAAGGTTAATGGAATAAAGTATAAAGGAAAAGAATTCCCTAATAAGTATGATTGAAACTACCTGTTTGAGAGACAAGTGATAGCTCTTAAGAAAGAATCCTAAAAAAGATGGGGTTCCTTGTATGCCTTAGCTTTTGGCAATATAGCACGATTGTACTACATTATGCACGCTCATGCATATCAAGACAAATTCTAACTTAAACCTTAAAAATCTTTATTTCTCAGTTATGGCTTGCTACACAATCGTGCATACCACCAAGCACAGTTGTACTTACTAATTTGAGCCTAGATTGTACATGCAGTGCTAATCAATTTGACTCTTTGTAGCTCTTAGTATACTTATTCCTTATTCTAAGAAAACAATAAACAAAGTAAATGATGCAAGTTGCCTCCTACGAGTGCTTGTTTATCATTACAATCCTATTAGACTACGGTAGAATCAAGGCATGAAACTTAGAAGTTACTCCCTTAATGTATAATTTTTCTCCTTGTCCATCAATTTAGAATGGTTCTTTCTTCAAGTGGATCCAATTTGCATCAATAAGGAGACTAAGGCCCTTGATATCATCAGGGTTTCACCCAAGGGCTCTTTTGTTCTCCTTTAGTAACTTCTCCCTCTTTGTACCTATTAAATCTCAAGAACTAATCACAAGAATAAACAAAGGAGAAAAAATGCATAATTAAAATTAAGAAAAGAAGGTTTAAGATTTAAATATGAGGGACTATCAATTGATGGTTTAAGCTTTTGTTTCTCTAAATCTTTATGTTGCTTGTTGTTCAGAGGGCAAGTGTATCTATTGAAAAGTAATAAAGAGTTCTAAAATAAGTTCCCAAAATATCTTCTCACAAATATTAATTTCTAATTACTAAAAATTTCTTAATTCAATTATTTGAGTCTAAAAAATGTAAAATTAAGTAAGAAAAATAATTATAAATAAAAGCAAATAACACAACACACATCTTGGTTAAACTTATAAGAAAGGAACCTAGAGCATATATGTTTTCTCATTCAATCTTTTATATTATTTTTCTGTTTAACTCTAAATTTAATTTCCTTGTGATCACCAATCATTCATACAAATATTATTAATATCCAATAATCATGCAATACTAATATTTTTTTTTCTCTAAATTAATATCCTCAATGATCATGTAAGACATCAATTAAAAAGAGCATAAAACACCTATGAACTTGTTAATTTAAAAACGATGGTAAGAAAAAGATTGGTTTGGTCTAACTAATTCTTTGTCTAGTTTTCCTATGGATCCATTAACTAATCGAGGTATGGTTGTCTAACGATATAATTAATTAGAAGTATAATTATGCACAATAAGATAAAAGTTAATTACAAACAGAAATTAAATATAGATTCAAACTTCAAAATCTTATAAATTCATGAACAATAGTTCCTATAACCCTAGCTATGGACTTAATTACTTATGCTAACCATAGCTATGGACTTAGTTATTCATGCTAAAGAGAAGAACTAAAACAATCATAAATAAAGCCATAGAGAAAAATAAACTAGAAATAGATGATTTCTCGATCTTCAAATACAGTCACTCGAAACTTTAAGTCCCACCAAGAATATGTCAATAATCTCATGTAAGTAAGACGAGATGAAAAGTGTATCGAAAAGTAAAAGATAAGATGTCAAACTTGGTGCCTGAGGTATATCTTTAATAAGGTTTGAAAACCCTGAAAGTTCTTCATTAATTGGGCTCAAAGCACTCTCGTGCTTGCTGAAAGAGTTTGGACGTATTGACTGCTGCGAAGTCCTAATTTTTCATCAGTTTGGGCCCAAAACGCACTCAAAATCTATTTATGACCTCTTTATACTAAACTACACAATTAATACATAAATCAAAGTAAAATTCAAATAAAAAAAAGGTTAAACATAAATATATAAACTATAAAAGAGGGTCTAATTACACACTTATCACTCGTTCTCTAATCCTCTCTTTGGAGCTCTATGTTTTAGTACTAGAGTTTCTTTCTGCCATGAAGAATTCTCCAGTTGTACAAAATTCAAACAAGGAGGAGTAGCTTCCACAGTATTTGCAAAATTATAGGAATCAAGGCTAGAAGGGTACTTAAAAGAATTAAAAAATATTACAAACTCTACAGGAAATATGAATCCCTTTACCTTCACAAGTATAATTTCTACTATATCCTTAGGATATGTACTTGACCTATTTGACAGTTAAAATGACACAATGGTCATTTTAAGTTTATACATCCTGAGTTTTCTAAAAGTAGAAAAAAAGGCATAAAGTTAATACTGACTCATAAATCTCATAAATCACATAGTAATATAAGTTTTTTCAATGATGCAAGAGATAGTGAAACTTTGTGGGTCTTTAAGCTTAGGTGAAAGTTTTTTAAGGACTATAGCTTATCATTCTTCATTGAGCTATACAATTTCATGCACTTTTAATTTTCTCTTATTGCTCTAGATTTCTTTGAGAAACTTAGCATACTTTAGCATCTGAGAGATAGCATTGATTAAGAAAAATTGATTGATGTGCATTTTGTCCAATAAATCTAAGAATTTTTTGAACTTTGGGTCTCTTTGTTCTCATGTTAGCCTTTGTGGAAACAATGTTCTAAGCTTACAGGGCTTTGACTGCACTAGAAGCTCTTTTTTCTTTTCTTTTTCAAGCTTTGCACTTGAAGTACAACATTGCATAGTAGGTTACACCATTGTGTATGATAGAGTTACCTAAGCAAGGTCATTCTTCTTGAGAAACAAAGGCGTGCTGATAAATAAACAAGGGCATGTTTGTAAAAAGAGCATAAACGTGCATATCATCAAGCACAAGTGCGCTTGTGTCTCTATTTTGCAATTCTTGCACCTTCTTCCCGCTTCTTGTAATGACTGTGATCTAATATTTGTTTTATTATTTTATATTAAAATTTAAGCTATGTTTTTAAAAGTTATAAAATAAATTTTTAAATAATATTTGTATGTCTATTTATGTTGAAGTGTTGACTCAAATGTTCAAGTCATTCTAAGTTAAAATTATAATTTTTTAATTGATCATGTAATAAAAAAAATACTTAGGCACATATAAAACGTGTCTAAAAAGTGTTAATCTTGAAAATGTGTTTGATCCATGATACTCCAAACAATCAATATATTTGTGTTTCATAGACAAAAATATCTTTCACCTATTTAAATTTTTTTTTTACTAGAATTGAGTAAAAAATCCAATTACTTAATTCCAATTCATAACTAATTTTAAATTAGTTTTAAAAAAATTAGATGTATGTTAAACAAGTTTTTTGGTTCAATTTTTTTTAACTGAATTAGTGTTTTAAATCCACCTCCCAAAATTGATATTTTTTTATTCATCCAAATCCATATTGTGCATAAAGAAATCATATTCTGACTATTCTATCTTATTAGACTTCTGTATCATATCAGTTTGACAATTTCTTCATGACTGCATCTATGACTAATATTGTTTTTATCAAGCTTAATTCTTATAATTAAGATTAAATATTTAAAATAATAATTTTAAAATATAACTATTATATTAAAAATATAAAAATATAATATAATTTTTTTTATTTAATAATAATATTATTATTTTTATAGGTTTTAATTTAAACTTTCATTACTAACTCTATTTAATAAAAATAAGTTAATAATAATAATAAATACCTAAAAAAAATTAAATGTAAACTCCAGATATAACTAAAAAAATTAAAAGTAAAGGCGTACGAAATATTAAATCCAAGTTTTCATACCCTTACTTTTTATAAGGATATAACGTAACAGCAAATGCACAACATCACCTGTTGAGTAAAATAGGTTCATACATCTGTCGATAAGTGTACAAATATTAAACAAAAATAGTGTCTTGTTATTATTAGTATTATTATTTATCTAGTTATACATTAGTTATCGATAACAAGCTATAAGTGGAGCATCTTCAAATAACGGCCACAGCGGTCGCAGCGCCGCCATAGCTATAAAGTGAAGCTTTAAAAAAAAAACTTATTTTTGGCCCTTAAAAATGCACTGTTTGGTGGGATTTTTACTTTTCTTTTTATTTACTTGTATGTTTTCCTCAAGACTTTTGACCTTTTATTTTTAATTATGAAGAACATGTTATAATTTAGTTTTTTTTTTTTTTTAATTTTTAGCATTTATATATGTAGTATTAAGTATTTAATTTGTATAATATCAGAAATACTTCCAAAGGTCATCTTTAACAGCACGAAGATAAAGGGCGCAGATGCATGGGCATCATTGATTCATTGGTTGGAATTACCGGCAGATAAAACTCACTGGAATTCCCTTTTCTCATTCCTTGCAGACCCACAAAGACAACCATTAATTAAATTTATCGAATATAATAGCTTGGCAATTTAATCACTTTTAGCCATTACATTTACATATGAACTTCTAGTAAACCTCAACCAGGCCTGCATAAAAAACTACCCAAAAGCTTTCCAAATGAACAACAAATCAGAAAATTTAATCTCAAATAGTGAAATTTGCAATAGATTCATCTACAGAATGGACAAGCTTTCTCCAAATGTGAGAAATAACTATAACATCCTAAATTTGAGAAGTTTTTTTGGCAACTTGTACCTGCCTGTATCCTCTCTTTTTGTAAAGATACAATCAGTGATAAGATCAAGCCAAACTAACAAGGCAATATTGATGAAGGCTGGAACTATTTTAGATCAGTCTAGAACAAGGTGATGAATTCAGATAAAAGCTGAACCATAACAAAAATTTTGGTACAGAACTATTCTATCGCAATACGCCACTTATTGATCACTTTCAAAAGAAATGCAACAATCACCAGAATCAAACATACCTCCTATGGAAGTTTTAAAGATAGAGTGGTTCCATACAGCCTTTCTAGACTAATTTGCTCCCTCCATCTAAAGAATTAATCATCACAGGTGTGAAATAAAGCAAGCAGCATTCTTACTATAGTTTATTACGCAATCAGGGACTCATCGTTATAAAGTACAACAATATAAATAAACCGAAGGTGATCCATATAGCCCATCTGATTCAAGAAACTCTCACACGACAGTGTACTTCTGTGATCTACAAACTGCTTGATGGTATGTATAAAATTCGAATAGATGCAATCATGAACATCCAGTGTTAGAATTTGAAATTACTGTAAAATAAGGCTAGGCAGTGGAGTCAGTCCCAAACCTGATAAAGAATATGAAAGCCTTGTCCCCAAAACCTTAAACCACTACTAAATGGGTAATTCATTGAGTCATATCTGTACCCAGTAGTCCAGGATGTATAAGTACACATTTGGTATCCTTTGGTACTTATTAAAATTAGTTTTTAGGTTTTTAAAAAGTACTTGTGCAACTTGGATATGACTACAAAATGATAGTATATAATAAAATATTGTAGTAGTATCTATTGTGAAAAAAATGACTGAAAATCAGTTAAGGTGATTTGATCATGTGCAAAGAAGACCTTTGGAGGCGCTAATAAAAAAAGAATAAATTACATGACTCAGTCCAGTGAAGAGAGGTTGAAAGAGACCTAAAAAAACCTTAAACAAAGTTATTACATGAGACCTTTTAATTAATTAAATTTCTAAAAATTTAATTTTTAACCGAATTCAATAACGTTGGGCAATTCATATAGCTAACTTCACCTAATGAGATAAGGTTTGGTTGTTGTTACAACTTGGATATGACTCTAATTAGAGTATGGCTTGGGGTATGGTTATTTTGCCTAATGCACTAACTAAATCATTTTATTCCAACAATAACGACAAATTCAGTTAATTTAGGGATTTTACCCCTTTATTTCAGTTTTTGCATTATTGTTTCCTTGCTCAATCAAACCCATGCATCCGTACTTGCAAGATGTCAGATTTGAGTTTAATTTATTTTATTATAAATGTTTCTGCAACAATTAACAGATATTTTATTCTATTTATATTATGTTTTAAAATCTACATGTTTCAAAATTTGTATTAATGTACCCGTACGTTCAATTTTTGGAGATTGTTCTATCTAGTAACTGTACCCATCTTGGGTACAAGTACTGTACCTATATCGAATCAACATACATAGCTACCGATTTATGGTTGCCACTGGCAACCATTAAAGTTCATGTTGAATAAATTCAGCAAGATGTCTAAATCCTATGTCAAAAATTAGGCACTTACAAATTTCAATCATTTGAACTAAAGAAAACTGGCAGATTCTGCCAGTATTATGCAAGAGTAGAATGAATCTAAACTTTCAACCCACACATACCAGCTTAAACCCCTCCTATGGTCGATAAACTTCGAAATATAAATCCCAACACAATCAACGAAATTCAATTAATGCACAGGCTATGCACACAAATCCAATAAATCAAATACCGTAAAATCTCCAATACTCAAATCTATAGCCAAAGGAATCCGTTTCAATTTCGCAAATCCACATTAAAAAAAAAAATGAGAGACAAATCCAGCGATGAATTCAATTATATCCTCCTCCCCGATCACAGCAAAATTCAGACAACAGACATTATTCACAAAAATTAGCAGGAATGCCTTATCCACATTCAACAAAAAGATGATGATAATAATAACAGTAACAAGCGAGTCAACAATCTCATCACAATACGCATATATCTTGAAAAAAAAAAAAGAAGGAAAAACTAAAAGTAGTTCAAATTCCGAGAGTTATACCCTTATTGCAACGGAAACCTATTTTGCTCTTCAAAACCTAACGGAGCGAGCAAGGGAAGAGGGTGGGATCCGAATTCAGGGCGAATCGGAAGAATCATTATTAGAGGAGAGGTTGTTTTCCATCTTGAGGCGCTCCAGGGCTTTTTCGTGGGCCCAAGTTTCGATGGTCAAATCGGGCTTGGCGTTGAGCCCAACTCCGAGGATGACGATAGTGAGGAAGCTGGTGATGTAGCAGGGGAGTTCCCAGTCTTCCCACTTACGAGACTGGCCCGGGGGAGGTGGGGTCCGGTTGAAGAGGTATCCCTTGGGCCGCTCCTCGTGGCCAGGACTCGTCCATCGGCCCGAAGCAGAGCTCGAACCGCCGCGTGTTCGGAGGGACTGGAGGAGCCGGTGGCGGAGCATGGCGGAGGCGCTGCTTAAGGGCGTCGGGATCGGCATCGAGGTTTTTTGTTTGATCTCTAGAGTTAGTGAGACACTGAGACCTGGCTGCCTCAATAGAAATTGGCCAAAGAGAGAGAAAAGGAATAGAGACCCTCTCTCAAAGTTTGTTTCGATTGCTACAGTTTTCGCCACTTCTTTTTTTATTTTTAATTTTTTTTAGGTCTAATCTCGTTTAATTTAAAATTAGATAAAACTAATTCTAATTATTAAATTGTTATTTTTTTTAAAGTATAAAAATTAAACTGAAGGAGTTAAAACGGGTCTAGAATTCAGTGAGCGTTTTGAGCTTATCTTAACAGAGTTTAAGGTTTACTTGTAGCTTTTAGAAGTGCTCTAAGTGAAATTTTAATCTTTTAATACTTTTTATTTAAATTTAATTTAAAATTTAAAATTATTATAATATTTTTAATTATACTATATCAAATAATGAAAGATTGTGTTGATCTAAGAATTACACAAAATATTAGAAAATATGTCCGTTGCACGGTTTATTTTCTTTTTATTAAATTAATTATTTTAAAATATAAAATTATAATTTAAATATAAAAAGTATATAAATATAATAAAAAAATTATTTATTAAAATAAATTATTATTTAAAATTATTTAAAATATGTATAATTTAACATTTTTTAGTATAAACTAAATAGCATACAAATATCTTATTTTAAAATGTAGAAATAAAATTTATATTATTTTATAATATCATAAATCATTCATTATTATAAAATTTTAAATAAATAATTATAACAATAAATTATTTAATATAATGAATTTTTTAATATAAATTATAAAATTTAAATAAAAAGTTTTATAATTATTTATTTATATATTTATTTATATTTATTGAATTAAATTTATATGATAAACTATCTATTTATAATTATAATTTAAAATTATTAATAAAATTTTACTATATAATTATTAAAACATGATATCATATTTTTTAAAAATAACTTATCAAACTAATATATACAAAAATAAAGTATTTATTCAACTAATATATGAAATTTCAAAAATCTACTTTGAATATCAATACATATAAAACTATATATTAATATTTAAAAATAAAAAAATATTAAATTTTTATATATAAATAAAATTACCATACAAAATTATTGTGAATAAATTTTTTTTATAATATAATATATATACTGAATTTAAAAGTTTACTTTTTGATAAAAAAAAATATAGAATTAAGTTTTTTAAATGATTAAATTATTTTATATTTTTTGATAACTTAATAGAATTAATATTAATTGACATTATAAATAAATAAATTTTATTTAATAACTAATTAAGTATAATAAAAATTATGTTATTTAGGTCATAAAATTAAAATAATAAATTTATTAATTTTTTTATATAACTATTTTTTAATTTTTGAAAATAATTAATACGATTTATTGATTATTTATTTTTTTAATTGATAATTAATAAAATAAATGTATCTATAAAATAATTTAACGATGAAATAATATTTTAAAAATGTTATTAAAAGAATAAATATTAATTTAAATAAAATTTAAAAAAATAATTTAAAATGTTATATAAAAGAAAATATATAAATTGAACCAAAAATGAGTTAAAAAAAAATATATTATTATTAGGTCTCTAATTATTCATGGCTATTTGAACTTTTTGGTGGTCCTAATAGTGTAGATCAGTGTACGGCAGATGCCTTGCAAAGGCTATGGAGAGGGAATGTCCCTCTTAAGTGTCTGGTTTTTTCTTGGCAATTATTGTTGAATGCACTTCCTTGTAAAGGTTTATTGATTGATCATGGTGTTCAAATTGATGATATAACTTGTTGTTTCTATCATGGTTTGGAGGAACTTCCAACTCATTTATTTTTAACGTGCTCAGTTTCATCTCAAATCTGGTACTTTACTGCGCGTTGGCTTGGATTCTCACTGGTTTTGCCTTCAGATTTATCGACTCACTCGCTTTCTTAGGTTGGTGTTGGCTATAGTAAAAGAGAAGAAATATGCTTATTAATTATTTGGGTAAGTACAGTGTGGTCTTTGTGGTACCGCATAGAAATAGAATTATATTTTTCAATGGTGTTTTGGATGAGAGGGAAGTCCTAGATTCTATTATTCTTAGATCCTGGAAATGATTATCACTTGTTAGTAAGGGAGAAGCTATTATGTTAGCTGATTGGTATTTGAACCCACGAAATTGCATCTGTCTTAATTTTGCATAAGTATATTTTTGCTTTTTATTTCTCTGAGTAAGTAAATTTTTGTGTATATGGGTTTTGAGTTCCCCTTGAACTCTTTTTAATAAGATTTGTTTTGCCTATAAAAAAAAAAACATATGAATATAACTTTAATATAAATACATTAAAATATTATATCGTTATTAAAAAAAAAACATATTTTAACTATTTTGACATAAATATAGTGAATTAGAGATTTGATTTTTGTTTTTAGATATATATTTTTGTTTGACTCTCTCATACATGACTTAGTTTTACAAACAGATGTAAATATTCAATGAACTTGATTTAATTTTTTAAAAATTAAAAAATTTATAACTTTAAGAATAAAACATAATAAATAACTGTATTAAAAAAATATATTAATTTTATATTTTTATATATAATATCTGTATTTTAATTTATATCTTGGGAACTAATTATAAGTTCATAAAATGACTAAATTTTTCTATTAGGAAGCACTCTTCTTTGCGTTTGTAATTAAATGCTATTATAAAAAATTTTAAAATTATTAGAATTTATATTCTAATATAAAAATTTTGAATAATCATATAGTTAGAATATGAAATTCTAATAAATAAATATAATTTGATATGTTAATATAAAAAATATTTTTATAATATTTTAAACACTAACTTCTATCTTTTTCAGATTTAAAGTCTTTCAATAGTTGTAAAGATTTAGATTTCATACAAATAAAATTTTAAAACAAATAATATATATAGAAATTAAATATAACATTTAAACTTAATTCAGAGTCAAAACGTTATATTTTTTTTACTTATTTATTTATTACGATATAAAATTATTAAATATGAAAATAGAACAGTTAAATTATATTCATTTTTATTATTATGATATTTAATAATTTTTAATTTATTTCAATTATTATAATTCACTAATTTTAATTGGAGAATTTTTAATTTATCATCATCATTATAGCATTTTATAAAAAAATTACAACAAAATCATTAAGTATAAATATTGTTAATTTTTTAATTTAAAAAATTAAATTTGTCATGATAATTATTATAATATAAAATATAAATAAAATATTGTCTGTGTAAATAGGTTATACATAATTATGATATATCAATTCCTATTAAATTATTTTTTTTAAAAATAAAAATAATAGAAGAAGAGAAAAAAAGAGTAGTTACAAATTTTCAATTAAAATTTAGATAGAAATTAAAAGAGAAGAATTATTGTATTTAATTTAAAATTAATTTTTATATCAATTAAATTTACAGATGTTGATATAATATAAAATTTATGAATCACATATAAGATTTGTCTAGAACAAAGTCAATACATAATATATATAATAATAAAGTTAGAGAAATATATATAATAAAATAACAAAATTATTTTATAAAAGACTTAAATGTTTGGTGACATTTTACTTTTCAGATTCTACACAATATTAAAAGTATTTATATAATATTGCAATAAAAATGGTTTAATATTCTAAATCATCCATTGTTGCCTTTTATTCAGCGTTTTTTACTTTATTTTTCTCAAGTTACAACCTAAAATAAAATATCAAATATAAATTACTGATCTAAGAAATTTGAACAATACATTATAAATTTATAATTTATACATTAATTTCCTTCTTCATTTTGGTAAATTTGGTGTTTTTATGGTTGGAGATATAGGTGAACAACTTATTGTCAAGTTATTTTCTTTTGTTTTTACATTTGTATTATCTAAACCTGCTTCCTTTTCAATCTGTATATATCAAACAATGAAAATAAAGTTCTTTATCATTGTATTATAAACATTATAAATGAAAATAATAAAACTCCAATTTAATCTTCTATATTACCTTCACAGTCGGCTTCATAAATTTATTTGCAGTGAAATTTTGTCTTCCACTACTTTTAAAGTAAGTACTTATTTTTATTTGAATAATATGTGAAGTGTCAATAATCTTTAAAATTTGTGGAGACAACTTTAACACTTAACCAATACCCTTAAAAAAATTATCACATAAAAATAGTTATATATTTTAATATATTTTATTTATATAATTAATTATTTGATTAGATTTTTTAGGAAGTTAAAAATTAATATATTTGCTTACAAATTCATATATTGCAATAAGATTTTTTAACTTTACTTGTACTAATTGTTCAACAACTTAATCAAATAAGACAAATATAGTTAAATCTGTGAAATTTTTAACATCAAGCTGAAGACTTTGTAATGTATATAAATTAACATAATGTATGTAAATTAAGGTAATAATATATAATTTAATTTATTTTAATATGAAAATTTAAAAATTAGAATACATAATAATAAATTAATTACCTTATCATTAGATACTCAACGACTTTGTAACATGATTCACATTTAAAATTTGTAGTTATGAAAGAAACTTTCTTCTTGCAATAGGGGTAAGAAATATAATACCAACTATTTTTAAACATTACATTGTTCATAGTTGTAATACAATCAATTACGACATTTTGAAAATTAATTAAAAAATTAATTTAAAATTTAAATAAGAAGAATAAAGTATAAGAGAGATTAAATTTACCATATCACTATTTGATTTTGCTATTGTCAAGATTTCAGATATGTTTTTAAAATTTTCTAACTTAGGAAGAATAGTAGATCTTGTATTATCAATATTGTGAGCAATATGAATATCATTAAAATCCCTTAAACAAAGTGATAATGAATAATTGAAACTATGGTTAAAATAAAAAAATACCAATAATTAACGGTATAGAAAGATTTTAAATAATTTTAATACATAAATGAATCTATAAAATGAGTAATTTTTGGTATGACAATATTAACATAATTCTTTGTTGATCTTGATGTGGAAATATAAATATTACCTATAATATATATATACTCATATTTTTTTATA